AAAAAGGAAATAAGTTTGTGTCTGTTCCTCAGGGATGTAATTATGAGACATCCTTTCACAAAAGAAAATCAAAATATGGGTTGAAAATGTACAATGATAAAGCTTTTTTATGCCTGATACTGGAATGAATTAGCTCCCTTGACATCCTCTATTACACAAAGCTACAGTTTGCCCTTGGGGGCAAGAGAAGCCTTTTTTTTTTAAAAAAGACGACTTCAATATCTTACATTCTCAATGAAAATCCTGTTTTGCCAGCACAAATTCAAATATGTATTCAAAACAAAACTACAATAGGAATCTTTTATTTTTATGAGCATCAGTCGATCTTTAAAGCCAAGTGAAAAGGCCAAAGGTGTTTGGCTGTTGCTGATATATTGACTTTTTTTCTCACAAATTTCTATTATGAGAATTGTGTGAGAGGAGCGCTCAGGTTATGCCGACGACATGGTTTGGTAAATGTGCGATTGGTTCATTCAAAACATCCACGCTAAATAGATGAAAATCTGTTTGATGTAAAATGGAAACACTTGTTTTCCCTGAGAACTGGCCTAAAATTCTCAACATTTACCAATCTCTGCGTCACTAAATTCAAAATAAGACTGCAGTGACGTTAAGTTTTAAAGATTTGAATGTATTTTTCACACATGGCATGATGCAACATACATTTACAGTGAGATATCTTAAACAACCTCACTACTTGACACATTGGCACAAGTTGGTTGGCTGTAAAACAGTTGCTTTGATGTTGATTATATTACTTGCCTTGTTTAATGTTTTAAGCTATCAGCATCAAATGTTAGCTTGTTTTGTTTGAAACACTTGCGCAGCCAGATATATTGTAGTTGAAGACAAAATCCCTTGGGACATCGTTATTTCTGCTACAAAGCTTTTGTACACACTAATTACCACTGCTTTTTCATAAACAAAAAAATCTATTAGTTTGGGACGGCATTCAGAAAAGTGGAGGGGAAACAGCAGGAAGCCTGATGTAACATCTCGTGTTTTGTGTCAAGATACACAATTAATGATCAGCTATCTGACATAATTCATTCAATAACCAGGTGAAATGTTTAGAGTTTTGGAACTTTGTGATTCAGGTGAAAATACCAATTCATCTTTTATATACAGTCCCACCAGTGTGTTTTTTTTTTTGTGTGTTTTTTTTTTTTGCGCTGATGTATATGTATTACTTTACTGTGAATTTTCAACAAAAATGTTCAATAGCATTGGGTTTAAATGGCTGCTACCTCCCCTGCAGGTGGCGGTGTTTCTTTCCTCAGCCTCAGACTCACTTAATGTCAGGTCATAATCCATGATCGATATATTGAGTAACACAAATCAAGGCATTTCAGTTCTACAAAGAATAAAAATGCTTGTGTATCTAATTTGTCAAATTTTTTCTCAACTTTTTTAATATGTAGATATTGGAAAAGGTTGATGAGGGGAAAATATATTACTAAATTATTTCTAATTAGCAAGGTGATATGATAAAAAAAGGAAAAAAAAAAAACGAAACTAATAATTATGTATGAATTAAATAAAGCCAGATGATCCAGAGACAAACAACTCATCTCAACTACAATTCAGTGGAATGTAGGACAATTCCTTTAATGACCTAATCTATTCATTAACAATTCATTCTGTAAGCTATAAGTTCAGGAGTTCAGTGACATGGGAAGGATAAATAAGAATACAACTTGATGGACGTGCCTTCATCGTTTCCAATAAATAGCTTCAAACTTTTCCACCCACATTAAAAGTTGTAAGACAAGACATAAACGCCAGACTAATCACGCTGACATGTTTTTAATGAAATGTGGGCATATTTTTATTGATTCTGCAGGCCATTATTATGTGAAAAACCAAATTAGCTTTGCAAAGCCTAACATTCAGGGTACTCATATGAGAATACAGTGCAGAAGCAGAGTGAGTGAATAGATATACTGACATGGGGCAATTAAATGCAACATGGGGAATCGCGTTTGAGAGGCGACGACTGTCATTCGGTGTTGACAGCGTTATGTAATTGAGTTTGACAGAAATTTGTTTGCATTATTCTTCTTCAGCTCTCAATTGGATCTCTGTCTGATGTTAAACAGAATCACTAAGCAAAAAGTCTCCAGGTTGTCTCACTGAAATTAGTCTTTTTTTTTTGTTTGTTTGTTTTTTACTCCAGCCTACATTTTACTTTATTCATTAGAAGTTTGTGTAAAACAGCTTGTTTTGCAAAGATTTAAGATCTTATGGCTTATTTTTTTAATTAAAAAGATCTTTAAAAAATACATAAGATTCTTTTGGTTTTGATATAAAGTGTTTCACCAAGATCTGAGGGCAGATAAGTTACATTCCTTTGTCATCACCAAAAAGTATATGTAGTGGTGAGTCTTACTATTTTGAATAATTTTTGATGAAGCACAAAACTGGGGGGCATAGCTGCAACATGTTACAGTGCTAAACAGTAGCAGTCATGATAAACTGGTTAAAACAATCATTCAGAATGTAGAATACCCCGTTTTTTTCTTGAGCCCCCGACTAATCGGTAACCAATCAAGTGTCTGTGTTTTTCATAAAAGTGAAAAATGCAGGGGAAATCAGATTGAGCATTCTTCAGTTACAAAGGGAAAAAAAAAAAAAAACAAGAGATGTGCAACAACAACATGATACTGCAGAGCTTGTATATTAGTCATTTCTGATTTATAAAAGGAGATGGAAGCATTTGAGTCTTGCCAGAATCACAGAACAGTTTTAATTGTCGAGGCGTTTGGAAACGTTGCCACATGGAGAAGTGGACCAATCTGCTGTGTGGGGGGGATTTTCTCCCCATTTTAGTCCATCTAGGGATCTACAATATGCTTTAAAGTAGTATTACTAACATTGAATACACTGCAACCACAGACAACAAGAAAAAATATTAAGTGGTCTTTGAAAATGATGTTGCGTACAGAGCTGACCTGTCTTGAGTCTGTGTAAACTTTCTCAATATCCGTGTGCGCGCACAACACCGTTTCACAGAACCCAGGAGACGAGGGAAACTCCTGCATACTCAGCATCAATTGTTGTACAAATATAGAATAAAAAATGTGTGACTTTCTTATTAACCTACGTATATTCATATCCATCACATCTAAGCATTTTGACTGTTTACATTCACTTGTGTCAGAAGGAGGTTAGTCAGATTTATTGATCTGCAGATGATCAAGCTGGTAGGACAGACGGGCGGGTAATTAGCCAAACAGACCAACAGAAAATAACGATGTTAGAAAAATCATACCAGCCTACAGGTATTAAAGCTATTCCAAGACGGCTCATCACAGGCTGACAGCAAGACAGTTATAAAGAAAAGCAAAGGCAAAACAGATGGTCATACACAAAGTGACCCAACCTGAATGACAGATGTATGAGGAACATACATATGGCTAGATAGTCAACGAAAAGACAAGACAGATCATCCTACAGATCGACAGGTGCTGCTTAATGGTGGCTCTTTTTGCTTTTATGAGAACAAACTTCTTTGAACAGTCAGGCACAGTTAAAAAACAACGAGGTGTGTAACTATGAACCTTCATTACATTTACACTCACCAGATCATTTATTAGGCACACCTTTTAATCAACACATCAACCAATCACACGGCAGCTAATCAATGCATGCAGACAAGGTCAGGAAGTTACAAAAAATGAAAAGAAAGAAAAAAGAAAACAGAACAGTCAGTAAGCAGCAGCTGTGTGTACAAAAAATGTCTTGTCGATGTAAAAAGGAGTCTGGACAGAGTTGTTCAAGAAGACAATAAAAAGGCAACAGGAACTACAATAAGAACCTGTTGAACCCTGGTAAGGGTCGCACAGCCGCTGTTTAAGGGTCTGGTGCCCGCTGGATTTTACTATTCAAATTCAACACAATTTATTTATTTTACTTTAAAATACGACGTCAAAAAAAAAAAAACTTCACATCAATATATGCAGCAAATATGGTTCATTTTTTACTTTTAACTTTTAAAGAAAACATTTTAAGAAAAAAAAAATTAGCACTTATTTATGTTTACTCTGTGACAAAAACATGTAACAAAATTTCTACTCCATATAAAAGCATGAGCCTGCCTGACCTTTATTGCTGATCAGGTTAATTATGACGGAGTAATGTGTCTACTTCCAGCAGGATGATGCACCAAACTGGTTTCTTGAACAAGATGATGACGTCACTGCGCTCAGGTTCCTCTATTGGCAGTTTTATTGACAAAATGAGGTTCAATCCAGTAAACCAAATTGAGTGGCCTTTATTTACATAAAGCACCATCTCTTTATGTCCAAACAAAAACGCTGACTTTAGGGGGCTAAAAATTAACAAAATAAATATGTTTTGGGTTTTGTTCCCCCTCATTACGCTCCAAGTAAGAAACGTATTGGCTAGCAATCAAAAATACTATTGTGAGAAAAGCTAAAACAGCTAAAATTTCTCTTTATCTTTTTGGTTTGCTAATAATTACTTCACCCACAGCATTTCGAGGATCTCTAATGTGGGTCAAGAAAGGTCTGCTCCCAAGGGATATCCTGGTAGAAATAGAAACACGAGTGAAAAAGATCTATGAATAGACTCAGCTGGAGGGAGAAACACGGACAAAATAAGGCTGCCATGAGTGAGCTAATTAGGGTTTAAATTGACTCTTTATGAAGAGGCTACAGATGGTGAAGGCAGTAACAACATCATGTGTCTTTTTGCACCAATCTTCAATTAAACTCTGGATTTATTTTAAAGCGACGTGAACTTCTTTGCAGGAATCTGTTGAGCAAATTGTATTTTTTTTTTATTACATTTACATAGTTCCCTATTTTGTGTACTCTGAGGATATAAGTCTAGTTTGAGCTTTTAGTGGACTGATCATGAATGCTGAAAAAACGAAAGATGGTTTTGCGGCATGAAATAAAGCTCCTGACGACGGCTACGCAATATTCATGTTTACAAGGCACACCCAGCAATCCGCCGAGTTATCGAGCTTCACTTACCGTAGTCGCTCTCGTAAAAGATGATAAACTTTTGCCAGTGAAACTCTGAGACGAGGGTAAGCAGGACGTCGTTGATGCGAACGGGCGGACGGGCGGCCAGCGTGTAGCTCTCTCCGTCCGGGCTGGGGTTGAGCTGGCAGGCGGTGCGGGGTCCACCGTCCCCGTTTCTTTGGATGAAGAGGTGAGGGATGTGCATCGCATCTGTTAGAGACTGGAGGGCGCTCGCAGCGGCACAACCCGTAGACGTAACCAGCGCAAGGATCCCCTGGTTCATTAATTCACATGCTGGACAAAAGTAAAGAGACACGAGAGGGTTAGAACCGCAGAAGAAAAAAAAAAAACTAAATGGGGAAAAAAAGGGACAAAAGAAGTTTAAAAAGGTGACTCGTAGGCCAGTTTTGCACTTAGAGTTTCAAAACTGAAAACATTTGATCCTGTTATTACAGATTAATGACTGAAACAAATACCAGATTGCTCACAGAATAGTATAATTCAGCATGTGTTCCCTTCCCTCACAAATGCGGGGGAAAAAAAAGTTTCCCGCATTTTCCCGCAAAGGTCAACTGAGAGATTCAGTAATGTTTTAGAAAAAAATGCATGAAAGACACAAGATAGAGGAGTCCAAAATAATGCCACTGCCAAACTGTTCTCCAGAGTGATGTCTAAAGACACTGAATAATAATACCTTTAGGAAAATTGTTCTCCCAGGGATGAAATTTGACTTTTTAAAATGTGAATTTCAAAAGAAACTTCACTGATTTCTCAAAGAGAATACTGTGTGCCTTAAAGTATTGCTGCTTTAAAACAGCAACTTGCAACTTACGAGTATAGAGTCTGTCAACACGCTTTGCTGCCTAAATTTGCTTAAACTTAATTAAGTAATATTGTTTGTTCTGTCAAGCAGAGGATTAATTAAATTTTCACTTTAAATATAGTTCGTAATGTCATAATTTGTGTATGACTCATAAATTTATCATTCAAAACATTTCCAGTCTCTGTTGCTATTGCCATGCAAGATTTTGACATTGAAATGCGACATGATTTTACTGGTTTTAATGTGAGTGTTTATTTCAGCCATTTTAAGGTATATTTTCAAACTCAAAGCTGAATTAACTTGAATACTTTATGCATCACATGATGTGCATCTGTGTAATGAGGGAGGATTTGGCTTAAGAAAGTTAACACCCCATATCAAGATGTGAATAGTTATTAAACTGTTTCTTTTCTTTAGGGGAAATGTCCCTCCAAAAAGATTTAACTGACTGAAAAGTAAGCAATTAGCAAAAGTCTCTTCGAGGGATGTAGAACTCTTGAAATTGCTAAGACGTGATCATAAAACCATTCAATTGTTTTGTAGCAAATAGTAAACAGGCTCACAAAAAACATGTTAAGAAAACAAGAAGGTAATAATTAACTGCCAAGGATTTGACAAAAATCATGCACGAAGCTACCAGGAATCCATCAAGGACTGTCATTTTCCATAACTGCAACCTAAAGGATGTTCATAGCTCAGAGACTTGGCCGAGGTAAGGAAGGAGTTTTGACTTTTTGAAAAATGACAATGATTTCTATGCAGGACAGTTCTCTGTCACATGCACATAAGTATTCATATGTGTGTTTAAAGGCATTAAAGGTGGAAAAACTGATGATCTTTCCTTCCCTCACCTGACCTGAACCCAGATGAGAAATTGATGACCAGCAGTTCTGATGTTTAGTTTTTTAATTCTCACGTAAAGAGATGAAAGTGAAAAAGACGGGACAATGTGTGATTTTCATTTAGTGGAATAATGACTCTGCACAATTGTTGCCCATTAATTGTGCGCGCATGAAAATTCTCCTAAGAAAGCGAAAACCTCACTTTTACGTTTTGCGCTTTGACTTTTTGGATTAACCAAGAGCACTGAAGTCGTTGATTAATAAAAAAAAGATTAATCCTCAAAAATAAGACTTGTTTAATAATTCTGCATTTAACGTAAACCTTTACGTGTTTTTTTTTTTTTTTTTTTTTTTTTTTTGGTTTTTTAAAAATTTGTGAAAAGGGATTTTTAAGAAAAAATTTGTTTTT